TTCTTGCAGGTCCATGTCCTGCTGCTCGGCGTGGATTTCGGCGCAGAGTGCTGCTTCAGAAATTCTGCCGTGGGCTCGGAGGATAGCTTTGGTGGCGCGCCATTGGGGACCGAGACCACCAATGATGACTGTCACGAAGGCGTCTTCAGAGATTGACCCTCCGCATCGAAGAAGCTTGTCGCGCAATTCGCGACATCGGCTGATATACGCCATTCCCTTCTCTCCTGGTTTCATTTCGACTGTTGTCAATTGCGCCATTAACCTGCTCTGGTTTACACTGTCTGTTGCTTGGTACAGGCTCTTCAGGTGGCTGTACGCGAGCTCAGCGGAGTTGCCGTAACCCCGGTAAGAGCGTATGTTTTGCTGCTGAGTTGGTGTGACGTTCCTCAGCAAAATAGTATACGCCATCATCGATTGATACGTATACTGCTGCTTCTCATACTGTGTGCCGTTTGCTGGATATTGCAGGGACCCGTCGAAGAAGCCGAGTATCTGCGCGCCTTCCATCATTAACTCGAACTCGAATGACCAGGTGAAGAAGTCCTTTCCGTCGAAGGGCCTTGATGTCTGCAGCTTTAGAACGTGCGCGAACTGTGATTGCACTTGTAACGCGTCCAGTGGTTTATCTTGTCCAGGTGAAGGCTGCGGCATGAAGCTGATCGACCCGCGCTCGTACGGGGCGAAGGTAGGTTGCTGCTGTTGGTTTCCGCGCGCATATGACGACCCGTCAAGACTCATGGGTGTTGCCCTGTTGTTGTTGTTGCTGTTGTATGACTGTGCAGGTCCCGACTGCTGGTGCTGCTCGTAGAAGGACATGAAGGAGAAGAACTTCTCCATCATGTTTTGGTCGAAGCTGGCGGGGTGATTTACGGGAGTTTCAGTAGATGTTCCTCTAGGTCTTGTTGCAGTGCCCTCCTCTGTCTGTAGGCCAGAGGCAGGAGGTGGAGTAGGAGTAGTGCCCGGGGAGCCGTTGGAGGAGCTCCTTTCCTTGTTTGTTGCCATGTCTTGTAATGACTTGATAGTAGTGGAGTTTCCCCTGTTAGCTCTCATACCATGTTGGGCTGAGAAAAGCCCTTAGGATCTTTGCAGGGGTAAAACTCCGGTAGGACTATGTAATAGCGGAAGCGTATTAGTGGAGAATTTGTGAACCACCTTGCGCTGGTATGTGAGGGCAAAGTAAGTTGATTATAGCAAGGAAGTACAAGATTATATAATAATACAAGGAATATGAAAGGATGCAGTTTGTAACTACTTTACTGTTGCTGTTGCGGTTCGATACAGTACGACTCGGGCAACTGCTCTGTAACGAGTCAGTTGTGTGTCCTTAACTGTCGCGCTGTATTTGTCAGGTCAAAGGTCGCTTGACCTTTGACTTTCGCGTAACCTCCGGCAACTTCTCAACCTCCGAAGGTTGACTCGCGTTTGTTTCGATACAGCTTGCTTCGCTTCTGGTGCGATGTTTCGACACGACTGAAGCGCTTAAGATTCACTGTTTCCAACAAAGCGAAGCGAATCTGATAAGGGGTTGGCCTGATAGAGGGCCGTAGGAACACGCCCTAACCTCCATCTACTGCAGAAGGTTTGCCATATACCTACTACTACAGTGTCACTCTGCTAACGATGTTAATGCCATGGATGATTTAGGTCAGGAGTGTCAGAGGTCCACTGGAGATCCCCGATGATCCTAGGGAAGGGTTACAGGCACGTCGGCCTGGGGGGTTATGGGCGCACTCACCCGCTATATAAACAAGCCCTTTTATCTCAGTGGTTAGTGGCTGGGATTCTGACATGGTATTGGTGCGAAGGTCTCGGGTTTGATTCCCGGTGTGTGCACTTCGGGCATCCCAGTGCGGGGGGGTGTCAGAGGTCCACTGGAGATCCCCAATGAACCTAGGGAAGGGTTACAGGCACGTCGGCCTGGGGGGTTATGGGCGCACTCACCCGCTATATAAACAAGCCCTTTTATCCCAGTGGTTAGTGGCTGGGATTCTGACAAGGAGTGTCCAAATTCTCAGGAACATTCATCACTTGGTACAAGCTAGTACGGTATATTGGTGTTGCTGCTGGCCACGGCCATATGTATTTGAAGCAATCGACCTTCAGAGAGTCAATCCCACCCTCGCACCATCCTGTGTGCAATGCAGATCGACCTTCATCTTTTGCTACAGATGTGTGAGTCTACGTGGGTAGGTTCCTTGAACTTCTGTTACTAAATATAACTAGTTAACAAACACCTTGAACTTCTGCCCCTTGACACAATCAATCCCAGCAGAGCTAGCAAAGTAGACCCACATGCCGCGGTACTTATCAGGAACCTTGTACGCCACCGTGCCCTTCTTGGCCTGCGCTGCCAGGCGCTCTGTCTTGGTTGTCAGGTCACAGCTCGTCCATGCCGCCTTGGAGAACAGCTGTACCACGTCGTCCACTGTGTTGGGGTTTGACCACTTGAACTCTGGTGGAAGGAGAGGTGGGAGGGGGTGGGGGCGATGGGAGGGGTGAGGAGCGGTGGGAGGGGGTGGGGAGTGGTGTGGGATGGGTGTTGTATGGGGGGTCACAGGCTCGTCCACGCTGCCTTGGAGAACAGCTGCACCACGTCGCCCACTGTGTTGGGGTTTGACCACTTGAACTCTGGCAGAGGGGGATGGGAGTAGGTGACAGGAGGCGGAAGGGGTGTGGGAGGGGGGTTTTAAGAGAATCAGATCTTCCATGATGCTTTGGAGAACAGCTGCACCACGTCGTCCACTGTGTTGGGGTTTGCCCACTTGAACTCTAAAAATGGGAGGGGAGAGGGGGGAGGGAGGGAGAAAGCCGGGTGGGATGGGAGGGACTGTGGGCCCACGTGCTCTGTCTTGGACAGCAGGTCACAGCTCGTCCATGATGCCTTGGAGAAGAGGGAGGGGGGAGTGGTGTTGGAGGGAGGGGGTAGAGTGTGGATTATGGCAGGGTAGAGTGTGAGGTATCGCGCACTCATCAAGAATAGTACTACCTTCACATTCTATTCCACGTAGCTCTACTCACTTTTCCAGGGAGCAAGCAAGTCGTTGACATCTTCCTGGGCGGCTTTTGAGGCGCTGCAAAAGTCAGCTCTAGTCAATCAACCCGCTGCACGCACCGAGCATGTCATTGACGTAGATCTTGGGCGACTTTCGAGGCGCTACTTAAAACGGTCAGCTCTAGTCAACAACACAGCCGCTGCACGCACCCAGCACATCGTTGACGTAGATCTTGGGCGGCTGGATGGTGGAGATGCCCCACGTCCACGGGGACTTGGTATTCGCCAGCCCCACCGTGTACTTGATGGGCTTGCGTACCTGATGGTGGGGGTGTGAGAGGGTGTGTTGGGGGTGGAGGGGAGGGGCGAGGGGCGTGTGTGTGGATGGTGGAGATGCCCCAAGTCAATGGCGACTTGGTTCGCCAGCCCCACCGTGTACTTGATGGGCTTGCGCACCTGATGGAGGGAGCGAGAGAGTGTTGGGTGTGTGTCGAGGGAGAGGGAAGTGGTAAGGGAAAGGGAAAGGGAAAGGGAAAGTGTTGCGGCTGGATGTTGGAGATGCCCCATGTCGGGGATTCTCCACGTCCATGGGGAGGTGGTGCGAGGCAACCCCACCGTGTACTTGATGGGCTTGCGCACCTGATGGAGGGAGCGTGTGAGAGGGTGTGTTGGTGCGTGTGCGTGCGTGTGTGTGTGTGTGTGTGTGTGTGTGTGTGGTGGGGGGGGTTGGGGGGAGTGGGAGGGGGGGGAGTGGGGAGGAGGGAATGTTTTGGGGTGGGTGAGGGGAGGGGGTACCGCGGGGGTGCATACGTGGCTGGTGGGACAGTGTTACATCAATCGCTGGTGACATTTCTTGTCAGCAGCAGATCACGCCATCAAGCTGCTGGGCTGACCAAGAGAGATCGCTACTTATAAGCCACAATAGAAGCCATAGTGGTTCTGTGTTTTATTGATCATCCATCTGGTAATGTCTTGAGGAACACTTTTTTTGCATCGCAGGCCCAGATGTGAAGATGACGTGGAAGCATTTGTGGGCTCCGCAAAGGAGTACACGTGGCGTGCGACTGAACCTTATCTCACCAGCGATGCCACGTGGCATGCGACTGAACCGTAATCGCACCTGCGACTCCACCGCGCCTGAAGCGCGCCGAGTTTGGTTCAGCGTGGTGACCACACGGACGAACCGCCCCCACGAAGCGTTCCGATTGGTCGATAGGTCGCCAGTCGCCGCGCATCGTCGGTCGGAGGCGGGCACGCGGAGGGGTTCGCGGTCAGCGCAGGGAGGGTTGCGCCGTGGGGGAAGGGGAAAAAGGGGGGCGGGGAACGGAGGAAGGCGGGAAAGGGAAGGGCGAAAAGGAGAACGGAGGAAAGGGGGAAAGAAGGAAGGGGAGAGGAAGAAGGGGATGAAGGATGGCAGGAAAGCAGACGGTTTGTGGTGTTTTGGAGAGCATCTCACGAAAAAGAAACCCCAAGAACCTGGGGGAAAGGAGGGGAAGGGTGGGGGAGTTGAAGGAGAGGAGAGGACGAGGCGGGAGCAACGGGGAGAAAGGGGGAGGGGGAAGTGGGGGGGGAAGACAGGTGTGTAATGGAAGATGGACACTCTATTCAGGTGCTCCTAAGGAAAGGGTAAGGATGGACCGTAAGAATTCCGATGCATGTTCCAAGGCTTCGCGAAACACGGGCTATGGAGGCCCCTCAGGAGACATGTGGGGGTTCGTGTCGCCTGTCGAGACTCTAGACTCTATAGCACGTCCTTACGGGCTGTAGGCTACTCACGGGGAGCGAGGAAGACAGCAACGAGGACAAGAAGACACCAGGCTCGTACTCCAGCCATGGCGGCACGCGACGGGCTCCAAGTTGATGGTTACACGTCACGTTTGCGAAACGTGAGCTTTACTCAGCGTGCGAAGATCGCTTCAGTCAATGCGCGCGCCACTGCAGGTTGGCTATTTCTAGGAGAGACACTTAGATCGTGAAGGCGCTAAATAGGAGGCCTGATAGGAGTTGCTTATTCGATCGTCCCCGGCGAAGGAAAACCTTGCAGAATGAGATCACTGTGCGAGAATGCGGAAAATAAGGACGGTAGTGCGCGAGTGTTTGCCAAGCGAAAATGTGTTGAAAATGCAATCCAATGCCTACCTGCTCTCTTCGAACGACCTCTCATCCTCATCCTGAACAAGGCCGATGTGCCACCAGTGACGGTCCCATTTCCAGATTTGCCCCGCACGAACGACAAACCATGGTGACCGACTCGCGCAAAAAGGACCTTCCACGAAAAAAAAAGGCGAGCGGAAATAGTTTCGCTGGGGTCGTTCTCCAGAGCGGGACGTATCCCGCGAAACAAGACACTTTTCGTTGTCGCGAATCTGGAAGAATTTGTTGATGCATGCGAATATTGCGACAAGCGAAAACCGACCTAAACGTCCGCGTTGCACCAAAATCACCGACCAATCAGCAGAATACTGTAGTGTACGTTACCAGGGCCAGGTGATACCAGCCCCAGGTGTCCCCAGCAATTGCGACAAACAGATCTGTGCGGTTTCACCTGCACAAATGTACTCGTTATTGAACAACAGTTTGTTTCATCGTAAGTATCGAATAGACCTAAACAATATGAAAAAACTTGCATGATGTCCCTTTTTGTATGTGTGAGAAAAATTCCAATTCATCAAATGAACAAGCATGTCTCACATGGAGAATGAATTTCCATATTCATAACACTGTAAAGAGATGTTTGCATGCGCAAGAACAATTGTTCACCACGCAAATTCACACTCCCCTAACAACCACTCCAACACGAAGCAACTCCCGGCGAGCCCTTTCATAAACCTTGTTCCCTTCCACCTCCAAATATTGCAGCCTTGGCACGTTCCCCAACAGCCTGCCGATAGCGTCTGCAGTGATTCGACCGCACCCCACCACACTCAACCGAGTCAATACCTCCAGGTTACTTCCTGCTATCACGCGGTCTGAGAAGCCATCACAGGCTTCCACCTTTAGATCCTCCAGCATGCCACATGCACGCAGCAGCTCCACCAGCTGCCCCTCCTCCAGCCCACAGCAGTTCAAGAGAGTCAAGCTCTTGAGCCTTCTACATACAGCAGCTCGTGCTAACGACTCAAAGGTCTGTGGCTTGGTACTCACTCTTGGGATAGTAGAGGAGGGGGAGGACGATGACGGGAGGGAAGGGACGGGTGTGGTGGGGGGAGAGGGGCGCATGAGGGGAGAGGCAGAGGGGAGGAAGGGGAGCCCGTCAGGGTCACAAGTGGAGACGAAGTGAATGGTGTCAAGGGTCAGCGACTCCAGTAAAGGGCAGACCACCTCCACAGGAGTTGCCAGTGTGCTCATCTTTAAAGCTGTGCTCCTCTTGGGGGGTGTGCTCGTCTTTAAAGATCTGCTCTTCTTGGGGGGTGCGCTCCCCTGTGGAGGTGGGTGGGTTGCGCTTCTGCCGCCCAGGTGCTTGGCCCTCGGCAGCTGCACTGATGCTCCTGCTGCTCTGACGTCCCCTCCTACAGCTCCTCTTGCTTCTCCTTCTGCGCTAATTGGCTCCTGTGCCGCTGTCCCTTCTGCCGCTGTATCTTCTGCCGCTGTTTCTTCTGCCGCTGTCCCTTCTGCCGCTGTTTCTTCTGCCGCTGTTTCTTCTGCCGCTGTTTCTTCTGCCGCTGTTTCTTCTGCCGCTGTTTCTTCTGCCGCTGTTTCTTCTGCCGCTGTTTCTTCTGCCGCTGTCTCTTCTGCCGCTGTTTCTTCTGCCGCTGTTTCTTCTGCCGCTGTTTCTTCTGCCGCTGTTTCTTCTGCCGCTGTTTCTTCTGCCGCTGTTTCTTCTGCCGCTGTCCCTTCTGCTGCTGCCCTTTCTGCTGCTGCCCCTTCTGCTGCTGCCCCTTCTGCTGCTGCCCCTTCTGCTGCTGCCCATTCTGCCGCTGTCCCTTCTGCTGCTGCCCCTTCTGCTGCTGCCTCTTCTGCTACTGCTCCTTCTGTTTCTGCCCCATCTGCTGCTGCCCCTTCTGCTGCTGCCCCTTCTGCTGCTGCCCCTTCTGCTGCTGCTCCCTTGCACTGCCAGCCCAGGAACCGCTGCCGCTGCCCCAGCTCCCGCTGCTGCGGTGACCAACCCTCCTGCCGCTGCCCCAGCCCCCACTGCTCCAGTAACCACCACCAGTCCTCCTGCCGCTGCCCCAGGCACTGCTGGCAGCGCAGGAACTATTACCACTCCGGGCAGTATTGCGGGGTGGGGCTGTGCAGGGTCATGGATCTCAAAGCGGGCGCCCATGTCCTCCATCTCCAGCAGCAGCACCTCCATCAGCGCATGCAGCACCTCCCGTGCATCTGCCTGCGGCACCACCACCCATGCCAGCAGCTTCTCACTCACGACCGCCAGGTCATCTTCCAGGTCATCCTCAGGCATGTATCGCGCCACCTCCTCCGCTTCAATCCATTGAACTCCCCACCCGTCCACCTCCCTCTCCTGCTCCACCACCTCCACTTGCTCCTCCACAGCAGCAGCGAAGACGCCTGCAGCGCCGGCAGCACGGCAGGCCTTGGCAAGTGCGTCCTCGCGTTCACTCCAGCCTTTCATCTCCGCCTTAGCCAGCCGCACGCAGCGGCAGAGCAGGATGGCGGAGCGCACGTGAATGACAGCCCGGTGGATGAGGTGGAGGGCGCCCGCCCCGTGGTGCAGGTGGCGCCAGCGCAGTGCCTCTGTGGCCGCCTTGATGAGTTTCCACTGGGAGGTCTTGCTGAGCGCCAGCCAGTTGTCCATTGCTGCCACGAACTCAGCGCGCCCTGCTGCTGCTTCCTTGCGCAAATCCAAGTACCGTCGCCTCCTGCTCCTGCTGCTGCTGCTGCTGCTGCCCCTCATCCCGTCGCGGGTGACCACCGGCGTGGCAGCTGCTGCTGCAGGTAATACCACTTCGTCTCCCTCCTCTGCTTCAATCGTCATTGCCTCTACTTCATCTTCTGCTTCTTCTCCCCCTGCTGCTGCTGCTAACGCAGGGGAAGCAGCGGGGCTTCCTCGCCCTCCATTCTCCACAACCGTCGCCCCTTCCCATCTCTCCACTCCATCGCCCCCTCCCTCCGGTCCTTCAGCAACCCCCAGCTGCTCCACTTGCACCAGCATGGCCACAATGCAGTCCAGAGACGGCTTCTGAGGCGACGAGGACGGCATGAAACTCCCCCTCTCCGCCTCCCTTCCTCTCAGCGTCAGGCGTTGCAGGCTGCTGCAGCGTGCAAGCATGCCCGGGCGGTACGAGGGCAGCCCGGAGAGAGTGAGGGAGTGCAGGCGGGAGGAGGAGGAGAGGAAGAGATCCCGAAGGCCGTGTGGGATGAAGAGGAGGTAGGAGGTGGAGTGAAGCGAGAGGGAGGAGAGTGAGGGGTTGCTTTCAGCGAGGGCTGCGAGGGAGTGGCTGGGAATCATGGGGCAGTCGTGGATGGTCAGATGGGTGAGCGTGTGGAGCGAGCGAGAGAGGGCATGCAGGTCGCAGGGATCGATGGTGCAGGAGAGGAAGGAGAGAGATGCGAGGCGCGGGAAGGAGGCGAGGGGCTTGAGGGCAGCTTCCAGCCAGGCGTTGTGGATGGTGAGGGAGGTGAGGGAGCGGTGGAGAGGGGTGGAGGGGGATGCGAGGGAGTGGAGGGCGAAGGCGTTGGGATGCCAGAGAGCGAGGGAGGTGAGCGAGGAGCAAAGAGCGATGAAGCGGTAGTGCGTGGGTATGAAGAGGAGGGAGAGAGAGCGCAGTGCGGGGAAGGTGTGCACTGGGGGAGGCAGAGGGTTGATGTAGGCGTAATGGCAGTTGAGGTCCAGTGACGTTATGTGGCTGATGCAAGGGGGAGAGGAGGCGGACGAGGTGGGGCAGAGGAGGCGGACGAGGGGGGTGCACAGAGATTGGGAGAAGAGGGGTGCAGGGGGATATGATTGTGTGTGGCGTATGCGGGCTTACACACTACCACTGTTTCTGAACGAGGGTGTGGCGAACGAGGGTGTGGCGAATGAGGGTGTGGCGAATGAGGGTGTGGCGAATGAGGGTGTGGCGAATGAGGGTGTGGCGAACGAGGGTGTGGCAAATGGGGGTGTGGCGAATGAGAGTGTGGCGAATCCGTGTTGGCGAAGGTGATAGAGGTTCGTACGACGGAAAGCAAAGCGATGCGGGGTAGCAGAGACAAACAATTTTGTGCAGGGCACTACTTAAAAAAAAGAACCTGCTAGAGAATAAAGGAGAGAAGAGAATGAACGAAGGGGGGAGAACAAGTATACGAGGAGCCGTCGCGGTGCGGAACCAGAGTCCCTCGCTCACTCACTCACTCACTCACTCACTCCCTCACTCACTCGCTCACTCACTCCCTCACTCACTCACTCGCTCACTCACTCACTCACTCACTCACTCCCTCACTCACTCCCTCACTCACTCGCTCACTCACTCACTCACGGGCATTGCGTGGCGAAATTCCTCCACATGGCGGGGCTGATCTGAAACCGGTCACGCGCCGACACGAGCTTCAACCTCTGCAGTCGCGGCCACCCCGCGCCGATTCCGGCCAGAAGATGATCCAGGGTGCCGCAATTAACCTCCACTGTGAGGTCGATTACTTGGGTAAATACCCCAGAATAAACGTCGAGATTCTTCAGCCAATTTCGGGCAGTGACGCCCTGTTCTTTCGCGAAGAAGTGGAGGCGGAGCGAGCGGGTCGTGCGGCGGGAGAGGCGGCGGAGGTGGGAGCAGGAGAGGGCGAGGCTGGCGCGGTCGCGCGGATGGTCGACGTGCGCGATAATGGGGTGGAGAAGCTCGTCGGGTAGCGACAGCAGGCGCGAGCTCTCGCGACCGCGCGCACCCTTCATCGCCGCGCGGTGAGGGTTTCGTTAAAAGCGAAGTGCAACTTTTTAGGGACAGCAGCAGGACAAAACTGGCAGGTGTGTAACTTGACTCCTATTGGACCAAAAAGGTGGAATCCCACTACATAACGTACCCTCTCGCAGTAAGCTGCGTCCGAGAACGTGCTTGATGCGACGAACACGAACCTGCCTATGGCGGATTTCGCGTCTGGTGCTTTAGCTAGAAATTCTACTGGCGCGTTTCGGGTCTGGTCCTCAGTCTTGGCTGAACCCCCCCTCTCCCACACGACGACATGCGCCCTGTTTCTCGCCATAGTGGTTTTTGATGTAGTGGATTCCAGAATGGACAACACAACTATGGGAAAAAACTATAAAATAACTTACGGTATGCGCCAGATCTCGACTTTTATGGGAAATAGCACACTTCTATCCGGATTGTCAATAGCGAGGATCTCCAAAAATTGGGTAGGGGCTTGTGATTGAACCTTATCGACCCTTCTGCTTATATCAAGCCCCGAGACAAAAAAAGGGGGGAGCTTATATCCGGGGAAATACGGTATTCAAAGCTTCATTACTCAGGGAGCGCCAAGGTTGGTAACAGTGAAAGTCCCTCTCCATGATCCACCAGCAGCAAGTGTGAGCGGGTTGCGGGCACAGGAGAAGCCAACATAGATGAACTCGTCCCAGTCTCGTAGCCCACAGGTCTCGTCCGCCGCGTGCACCGTCAGATCTCCCAATCCAACGGCTGTGAGGCGAAAGGACAGCCTGCGACCCTGAGAGAGGGGGATGTGTTGAGACGGACTTTGTGTGTGAGGCAGTTGTAAAGTTTGCAGTGATTATGTGACTCACTGGAATGGCCACATATTAATACTTCAAATCGATTATGAGAGCAAGGAGCAAAACCAGAGCTTGAAAAGAGCCCCAAAACTATGGATGAACTCGAAGACTTCATTACCAGACCAGCCACCAACCCACTAACCCTTCCTGCTGCTTGCACACGCCCCATCCCCTTGACGCTGCGAGATGCCACGCCATCCAGCCTTGCACTCGCACTCCACACGCACATACAAAGCGAGCTTCTATTGAACCCACACGCATGCGCCTCTTACAGTCACACCACTTACTCTGTCAAGGAGAGTCACCGAGCTAGGTCCGTCCACAAACATCCGCTTTATAGGCGCCTCGATATCAGCATAGTCTGCTCTCTCCACGCCTTGCTCTCCCCCCTCCAACACGTCCCTCCAAAACCCCCTCAGCTGCCCTACCATTTCCTCGTCATCTGGACTAACCCCTGAACCTGCCTCTGCTGCTGCTGCATTGGTACCTCCTGCTGCTGTGCCTGCTATTGCTGCTTCTACCTTTTGTAACCCAGCACTTCTCTCCACCTTCCCACTGCCTTTCTTCTTGCCCAATTGCCCAAACAAACCTCCCATTCCCCATAGCCCTCCTGTTTCAGCCGTCTCCTGCTGCTGCCGCCCCTGCGGCCGGTCACTACGACTGCCACAGTACCGCACGCCTTTGCAGCCAATCAGGCGAGCTCCATTGATGGTGGAGAGGGAGAGGTGGGCGGCGAGAGAGGGGGCGAAGAGGAGATCAGTGGAGGGCTGCTGAGGAGTGCTGATGGGTTGTGAGGATGCTTGTGTGGCGGGTTGTGTCACGCTGCTGCTGCTGCTGCTTGTGGTACTGACGATGCGAGCGGCAGTATTTTGCACGCTGAGGGATGAGGAGAGGGAATTGGGGGTGAGAGTGATGGTGAGAGCGAGTGAGGCGGTTCCTGACCAAGAGGGGGAGGAGGAGGCGGATGGGGTTGAGGAGGATGAGGAGGAAGAAGAGGAAGGTTGTGATTCCGTATGTAATGACTGAGTGAGCACAACCTGCAGGAACGACAAGAGACAGAGATATAGGAAGATGAAGGGTCTAGAGGCGAAGGGAGCACAGAGAAACCAAGACCCATTAACGAGAAAAGTGAAGAGTATTAAGCAAGACGGGATGGAAATTAAGAGAGGTAAACGACAAAATGGAGGGAGATAACCAGAGCATTCAAAAGGGGAGGAAAATATTCATGAAGAATAAAAGCTGAAGAAGTGCCACTGCAATCATGAAAAGAGGCAGAGGGCCTCTCCTCCTCTCCTACCCCTTCCCGCTCAACGCCCCTCCCAAACCCACACCCATCGTGTCCCCTTGTCTTTCACGGAGCCCCACCTTAGCCCAGCTCCCGTTGGGTGCGCTAGATGCTGACGTCACCTCCCACTCGCCTCGCGCTGCCAGCTCGCCAAGTGGCAACCTCCTGCCGCTGCCAGCTGACAGCGCGCCACTGGCTGGGAAGCTGACGACGAGGCCCCCTCGAATCAGGTTGCATGGGCTGGACGAGTCGTCGCCGTCCACGTCAGCAGTCGCGACGTCATCGTCGTTCGTCGCCGCGTATAGGACCTCCTCCACCGCACCGTGCCACATCATTGCGCGGTACGACGTCACGCGAGCGCCGTCAATCAGAATGCGACACGTGGACTCGTCTGACGTGGACAGCTCAACGGTCCGGATTCCCGCGGCGCCAGAGAACTGGACAAAGGGCGAACCGTAATTCTGCTGAAGGAAGTATGGCGAGGCGCGACCGGGTGACGTGGCACTCGCGGAAATTCGGGAACGAACTCTGCTAGAGCCAGATTTTCGAGGAATTGCTCCATCACATATCAACGGAGGACGTGTTGCAACGGGAATTAAATGTCGAGGCGCGAGCGGTGATTGGAGAGAAGGGAATAAGGTACAGGAATTAGAAGACGTAGTCCACTGGAAAGCACGAGAGAATGCGGGAGGGTGGTCGTTAGGTCTGCGCCTCGAACACGCATTGCGGCGAGAAGACGAGGATTTGGACGAAAGGGAGGGGGTGATCGACCCAACTGCGACCCGGTGAGACGCTGGCGGGGAAGCGCGAAGGAGATCCATGGAGAATAGCGATCGGTTGAAACGATTCTACGAATAAATCCTGGTGGAAACGACGGGAGTCTAGCAGATGGATGGATATGTGGCTTTGTGCGAGGAGGAATGGAGGAGCAACGCGGTTCGAAACTGGGATTCTGGGATTCATACTTGCTGGGCTTGATGAGAGGAGAGAGATTGCATCGCATTTTCGGGGTTTGGTGACATCGGTTCACCATCCTCGTATTTGGTAGTGCGATAGCATCCATTGCAGCTTACATGGATGACTCACATGGTACAGCTATGGAAAATTCCTAGACTTAAATAATCAGAACCCAAGCATGTACTGTATGACAAAATCCTTTATGGAATCAAACTCACCTGTTCATTCCTTTATATGTAACTATCCCTAGTTTTAGAACAAGACGTCAGGGTTCAGTTCAGAGTTTGGGCATTCATGCTTTGGGCACGGCGTGATGTTATTTATGGAATATACTTAGTCCGTTTCATAACTTGGTGGGAGAGGAAGAGAAGGAACCCACAAAGGATGGCAGGGGCGTAGAGATTTGGGGAGAAGCACGAGAAATGATATGCGAACGAGGCAGCACTAAGCGGAAGGGAACAACTGGAGGAGTGAGGGGGAGAAAGGTGGGCAACGGGAGGTATGACAGAGAAAGAGGGGGAGCTGGTGTTGGGATGGATGACAGAGAGAGGCGATGGAGGATACAGGAACAAAGAAGATGAGGGATGGAGGGAGGTGGAGGGAAAGTGTACAGAGAAAGCACACAGTACTGAGGGGTAGCAGGAAAAGGGAGGAAGGGGGGAAAGTGTACAAAGGAAGCGCAAGAGACTAAGGAGACTGGGGTGACCAGAGAAATAGGCAGCAAGAGGGGGGAGGATGATGGGTGGGGGGAGCAAAGCAGGAAGGTGGGGAAAAGGGGAAAGAAGATGTAAAACAGTCAGGGAGACAGGATGGAATGTAAAGGAAAGGGGGGCAGGGACTAGACGGGCCTGGAGAAGACAGAAGAGAACCTGAAGCACACAATTTCAAGGCAATTCAAACAGCAGAAGAGCTTTCACAAGTAACAAGGGAACGCGCGGGAGATAAGGAAAAGATTTGTTCCAATGCGAGAGAAGATCAGGATTAATGAGTGTATATTATTATTTCATCTGAAATGTACATGTACCACACGTGGATAACGTACACATTAGATTATAAGCAACCATAACGTCAAGCTGCCAGTGCTGCCTGACCCAGCTACATACCTTCTCAAACATATAGGCAGGAGAAAACAATCCTCCAGACCTTGCTTGGAGCAAAGCCAAAAAAGATTCCACGAAATGAGGTTGATGCGAACATCTGGAGCATCGTCATCCGTACGGAAGCAGCAGATGTGCTGTATAAAGGCAACTAGATGGCCTCGATGTGATCGACGTTTGGAGTGCGCCTATTGGTAGGAGCTTCGGCGAAGTCACTCCCCTTCAGCTCTGCCGACGTCTTGTCAATCGCTCGGTTCAGCTCGGCAAGCTTTTCATTCATTTTCCTCCGCTTCTCCTGAAACGCGAGCCATGCGACAAAATGAGCTACCTCGACTTACGGGGAAAAATGCGATATCGAAGTGGGAGTTCAACCTACCTCAAGGCTATCACTCTCGCTTATCCACTTCGGAAGTTTCGGCGCGGAACCCTCCTCGTTTATCCCGAGTATGGCCTTCGAGATCTACCGGGGATGGATGGGGTTTCAGGGAACGTACTTTAACACACGACGTTCCATGTATCCACGAGATAACCTGTTGCAGAATCACCAAATGACTAACCTGAGGTGCGAACAGGTAGCCGAGGGCGCCGAATACAACACCGCCTAGAATGAAGCCAGGAAAGAATCCGCCTCCGCTCCAAATCTCTCCTGAAATGGATGAAGATATTCGCAATAAGCCAGAGGCAGGAAAGAACACTCGAACAACCAGAAAGAAAGAAACCGTGCCGCGAAAATTAAATATCGGCCGGAGAAGAAGGCACGGCATGTCACCTGTAATCAGAATCTGCCACAACAAGTGTCCGTGTTGCTTTCCGTCTGCTGTTAACAGCCCTGGAAACCACCAGTTTCGGTGACGATGTCAAGGACTTGGTTCCAGCAAGGCCTTGGAAACTAGGGACTCCTGAAACGGTACCACGTGGAAAGGTGAAAACCAAGCGACGACACAAGTCGGCACCGTGAACGTATGACTCGTACCGTTCTTACCTAGCGAGCTCTTGGGTGCAAGAAGGACGGCAGTGCTACTGACACTAAACATTTGAGTGGTTGCCATGGCTGAAGGAGCGGAAGATCTAGAGCTGGCGATGCGAGGGGAAGTACGGTGAGTGATACAACGGGAAATATAGAGAAATCTGGCTACTAGGTTTCTGATCGACAGGACGAGCCAGGGAGCAGAAGCTGAATTGGTGGGAGAGTGCGGTATTGCGGAGATGGATCAGATGGTTTGATCTGGAAATTCCAGGTGTTCGGAAGTCACGACACTGGCGACTTCGGCGAAGTCGAATGTGTCAACAAATGTGCCAATAACGCGAGCGGTGTTTCACTTCGTAACGCTCTTCGCTAAGCAACCCTGGAGGCTCAATTTGGGAGAAGATCAAACTGGGGCCAAACATTAGCAGGAAAGTGACCATATTAGGGCCGGGTTAAACTCAACCGTTGGATCACCTTCCGAGGCTGCCCAAGTGGTAGGGCCGAGAAAATGAGCCTACAATTACAGGAAAATACAAGCATTCCGACTTTTTTGGATCATGGTTTTGTTCCTAGGTTATTATCGCCGCCTATACGAAACTCGCGTCGTATTCCTCTGGGAGAAGGTTTCATCGTGGTTCTCGGAAAATTTACATCACTTTAGCTGACCAAAAAAATAAAACCAAACCGGAAACGGATGCGACGCGGGGAGACATCAACCCTAAACTCTACTTGGGTTCTTGTGTTTAAGGTTGATCCCTCCCGAAAATGCGTCCAGATTCTCTGGAGGATTAGTTTTTCCTCCCTGCCCTAACAGTTTCCGGTAGCGTCGTCTAGTGCTTCGTAGGTGCTGACGAGTGGATGTTTCAAATCCATCAGTTGCGACGCGCGAGGTGGTCAGAACCTCTTACAAGTGAAATCGAATCGCAAGTATGGAGAAGTCGACTTTTAGCTCCAAAAGTCCAGGTTCGGTTTCTCCGGCCCTAATTCGGTCACTTCCCTGCTATTGTTCGGCCCCAATTTGATCTTCTCCCGCTCAATTTCGAGAAAGGTGAGTCTTGTGACGTGTCGACGTCCGAGAAAGCCCATCACTCTCGCACACGTGGCTGTGCATTGCTGTCACCAGATATCTGATCACTGTGGCTGGTAACCACGATGCTATTGGCGGACGATTTTGTAAGCCCTTGCGACACCCCATTGGCGAACAGATTCTCTTCTTGCCGCGCTGTAACGTCCGCGAACCCAGCAGCCGCTCGGGAATGGGCCAACATCATAGACATGCAAATTAGTGTGGTAACCCTATCCAATGGTATGCAAAACCGTCTTACCTCTGTTTGCAAGTTATTGACATGCTGCCCTGAAAGCACGTTCGTTTTTAATTCAAATTTGATCTTTACCGCGCTTGCCTTCGCGCTAAGACGTGATTTCTTCGGGCCAAGAAAAAAATAAAACCCGATCGGAAAGGGATGCGTCAGGGAGGCATCAACCCTAAAAACAATGTCCTTTCCCGTGTTTAGGGTTGATCCCTCCCAGAAATGCGTCCAGGTCCCTAGGGGTTTTATTGTTTTTCTGCCCTGCCCCTACATTTCCCGGTAGCAATATATTGGTCCAAATTAATGTTATCGAAATGGACCCCGTAGCCCGTAGCCTTTCATTCCAGTGGATTTTTCGTCACATTTAGCGGAAAATAGTAGCCGGCAGGAATATTTGTTAGGCGCCGAACAAGACGCGGTAAGAACCACGACGATACGAAATCGAAAACGCAACTGATTCAATCCCATATTTTCTTCCTTTTCTGTGCTGCGTCAGCTGTTACACAGTGTTTTGAGTGGCGCTACCAGACAATTTTGCGCAGCAGAACTGGGGTATCGACGGTTTTGCATACCATCGAATAGGGTTACCAGACTAATTTGCATGTCTATGATGTTGGCCCCTCGGGAATGGCTCGCCAAGGCGTCGGGGATTCCGTGGTCCCATGATGGGCTCAGGCTATCAGGGTAAATGCTCGTTCTTGACTGAAATTACAAGGTGTTTTTCCACGTGGCTCGGATTTTTGCAGGGCGATTTTCTGAGCGACCCTGACGAAATCCGAGTGATTTCGAGCCTGGGCCTGGGGGGTACGAGTGGTGCTTGGCTGTTCCCGGAGGCTCCGAGTAGATTTGGGGGCGACCCAGAATTTTTTCTCGTATACAGCCCCCCCCCCCCCCCACCCCCTTCCCCACCTCTTCCCTCCCCCTCCCCAGGAAATCCCTTTTCCGTTTCCCTCCCCCTCGTTCCCGCCAACCAGATCCGCGCGTTCGTTTCAGCAACAGCCCAGCCCACAAGCCACCTCCTCCCCCTAGCCTACCCCTCCCTTATTTTTCGCTCCCTCTCTCTCTACAACATCCCCTTAGCTTCAATTTGACTTGTCTTTCAAACCCAACTCTCCCTCCAAACCAATCTTCGCCCTTCCGCACCACTTCATTGTCCCCTCCAATTTAGAAAAGGAACGAAGTCAGACTCGAAGTACGAACTTGGGCTCAACTCAAATACCCTACCAGCATCCCTGCCTACTGCCTCATGTTTCTGTCACTCCACCCACGCCATTCCTCCATGCCATGGCGTCCCTTAATCGTAACCTAATGAATAGTCACTGAAAATACACGAGTTTCATTAACTTTACTACCGAATGTATCAGAAACACTAGCGTACGTTAGGGTTTGCTTTCATCCACGACTGAATTTACCTTTTAGTACTCTCAAGCCATGGCGGATAATAGAGACGACGAATTACGCCTTTCCCTTGGCAGCGGTAGGATGAGTGCTGAAACGACATGGCAATATCCATTTTTGCCTATTGATCTAAACGATGACGACATGAATCTAGATCTCAATCGGTCATCCTTTTCACCCATAAGAACAGCATTGCCACATGAAGGCACGCAGGCCGAGTCTGTCACTCTCCACCTTTACCCTGAGGGGTTATCAGAGGAACGGCCTATTCACCGTCGCCCGTCAGACCCTAACATTGCCACAATCCATCCTACCATTGGTTCAGTAGCTCCAAAACAGCGTGTCCATAAGCAGATTCCCCTCTGGTTCGCACCTCCTCCGAGTAGTCGAAAGCGTAAGGTGCAGAAGACAACGGAAGTTGCATCATCTCATCCCGAGAATGTGTCACAAAATCAACGAGCACCATAGGACGCTTCCACTCCACAAGGCGAAGGACAGACAGATCCGAGCACAACAGAGAAAGTGCAGCCCAACTCAAGTGGAGGCGTAGGGCAGACAGATCCGAGCACAACAGAGAAAGTGCAGCCCAACTCAAGTGGAGGCGTAGGGCAGACAGATCCGAGCACAACAGAGAAAGTGCAGCCCAACTCCAGTGGTCCGCAGCAGGGGCAAGCTGAAGCTCCCATCCCTAGGAAGGAGTTGGAACTGAAATCCAAGTTCAGCCATAGGTGGACCCAAGACTTTTCGTGGCTCAGTTTGGAGTACAACTCGGAGGCACAGCAGCTCGGAATGAAATGTAGCGTCTGTTCTAAATGGGGAGCTGATAAGGGAAACTCTCCGTTTGGGAGACCGGTGTTGGCGCGCGGGACATCCAGATTTCATGTGTTAGAGGACACCACAACAGCAACGGGCACAATTTGGCGGTGCAGAAACAAGATGCGGAAGAGAAGAAGGCGGCAAGGGACCTCAAGTGGCGCGAGTATCAGAAGTCTGAACCGCGTGTTCGACGGGTTATTAGGGCGATGAAGGTCTGCTATTTTCTTGCACAGCATTGTCAGAATGTTATTCTCTAGCCTGTAGTGGGGTGCTCTATAGCGAGTACAACCCATCTAGGGTTTGCTATATGTATCCTCATTGCTGCTAGTGAACCCCCTCTTTGCCTAAACTTTCTCTTGCCTAGCTAGGGTTCTCCTAGCTATGGCTCCTGCTTATGCTTACTCTTTTGACATGGTAACAGAGCGTTCACGCTCCTGGCCTGTGGGCCCCACTGCTGCTTCCGCTGCCCTACTCAGTGTCGCGCGCCCCGTGGCGCGCGACCTTCACATTTTCATCCCGCCGCGCGCTCGGGGCGTGCGGCGGTTTTCTCCCCGCCGTGCGCACCGAGGCGCACGGCGGTTTCCTACCGTGGGGGACGCCCGCGGCCCCCCGATCCCGTCGCCCGCGGCCCTCCGGTCCCGTCGCCCGCGGCCCCGCGATCCCGTCGCCCTGGGGAGCCGCACGCGACCCCCCGCGGCCCCGTTTTCCCGTCGTGCCGCCCTGGGGAGCCGCGCGCGACCCCCCGCGGCCCCGATTTCCCGTCGTGCCGCCCTGGGGAGCCGCGCGCGACCCCCCGCGGCCCCGATTTCCCGTCGTGCCGCCCTGGGGAGCCGCGCGCGACCCCCCCGCGGCCCCGATTTCCCGTCGCGCCGCCCTGGGGAGCCGCGCGCGGCCCCTCTCTGCCCCGTGGTCGCGTTCTGGGGGCCGAGCGCCGTCCCCCTCGCCGTCCCCCGCGCTCCTTCCCCCGTTCCGCCCGTTTTTAGGGTTTTGGGGTGCGGAGTGTGGGGGTGGCAGCTCTGGGGGTGCCGTGTGTGTGCGCCGTCCCCTGCTCCTCCTCCTCCTCCGTCTCCCACTGCTGCAGCTGCCGCTGAGGGGGGTGGATGTGTGGGAGCCGAGGTTTAGGGTTTAAGGGGGGTGCCGTGGAAGTGGAGCTAGGGTGTCAGCAGGGGGTGTGTGAGAGGGGCGTGGGACGGTCGGGGGAGGTTGAGCGGAGGCTGCCGTCTTGTCGTCAGCAGCACCTGTAGTCCGGGGCGCTGTTCCGGTAGCCCAGTCGTAGCCAGCTGCGCCAGTCGCCCGTGGGTCCGTTGCTCGTCTGCCGCTCTTCTTAGCCGCGGAGCCAGTTACTCCTGTAGTCCGGGGCGCTGTTCCGGTAGCCACTGTGCCAGTTTGACTCCTGTTGCCCGTGTGTCTGCAGCTTCAGCCGTCGCCTCTCATCTTCTCTCCTTCCACAGTTCCTCCTCCTCCTCACTTGCCCTTTGTGAATGCCTCTAGCTTTGCTTGCACTTGTGAACCTGCTTTCTACCTGCTTGCTCATTGTACTGATTACACCCCACTTTGGCTATGGGGGTGTGTCAGAATGTTATTCTCTAGCCTGTAGTGGGGTGCTCTATAGCGAGTACAACCCATCTAGGGTTTGCTATATGTATCCTCATTGCTGCTAGTGAACCCCCTCTTTGCCTAAACTTTCTCTTGCCTAGCTAGGGTTCTCCTAGCTATGGCTCCTGCTTATGCTTACTCTTTTGACAAGCATGACGTCCCTATCTCCATGTACCCTGTGTTTGCGCGGTGGCTAGCGGATGAGGGCATGGAAGACATGCCTAAGGGGGAGATGTATGCACGTTACTATTCAACGTAAGTAATCACTGCATGCTCTTATGACATATTTCAATTTGGCAGGGTTAGCTCTTGGTATGCGCACTACTGATATGCATATTTCCTCTTTGACTGTTTTGATTTCAAACTTTGTATTTGGTGGTGATGCATGTGGGCTGCTGGGGAGTTTCTGCAAGCAATATCCACACACCTCCATGACGTGCAGCATGCACACATCCAGGCCAGCCCATGGTATGGGCTCTCTCTCGATGAATCGACCGATCGTGCCCACGGAAAGCATTTGATTGTGTATTGCACCTTCGAGCGAGATCTGAGGGTAGTGACGGAGTTCCTTGCGCATCTTTCGCTGGAAAAATGTGATGCAGCTTCAATCTTTGCAGTTCTATCGTCCTACTTGGATGCGAAAGGCTTTGACATGCAGAAGCTTGTTGGAATCAGCACGGACGGTGCGAGCGTGATGATTGGAGACAAGCAAGGACTTGTGAGACGACTTCGAGAGAGATGCCCGTGGCTGTTCTCCGCCCACTGCATTGCTCACAGGTTCGACCAAGTGATACATTGCTGTCATACACCTTGTTGGCATGATCCATAGTGCTGCCATGCTAGTTGCTGTCGAACCCTCAGTTGCCATGTAATTTCCTTCCATCATGTCTGCTTTGATGCTGCACTTGTCCCTTGCTTGCGGATAATCATTGAACATCTGTTTACTACTCTCTGAGCTGTGTGCTTACCGTATTACAGGGAAGCACTTGCTGCTAAAGATGCAGCAACCACTTTTCCAGATCTTCAAGTTGTTGACAAAGTCATTCGCACAACAGCAGAGGATCTGGGTCGTTCGAATCTTCGACGGCAACAGTTTATGGATCTGCAATCAGTCATCCGATCCACTGACTTGGAGGTTCTATGGATTGTAAGCATACGGTGGCTCGCCAGAGGGGAAGCAGTGGCTCGGTTTTGTGATGTGTTGCCGATTCTCCTATGGATGTGGAGGCAGGGGAACGCAAAGCTTTTCAAGATGGCCAGCTCTTTCAAGTTCCTTTTCATGCTCTATCTGTTGTGTGATGTGCTGGAGGTGCTCAACAATCTGAATCCCAAGTTTCAACAGCGCGAGGTACGTATATCGAGAAGCAATGCATATCAAAGCGGCTGGTGAGTGTGGGCTGCAAGGTGCATGGCTGGTGAGTGGTGCGGCTGCCAGGTGTGTGGCCAGTGAGTGCGAGGCTGAGTGGAGCACAACACCATTCTACGTTAATTGATAAGCACTCTACTAGGTGCATCGGACTTACTGACCTTAATATAAGCATACGTGCCTTCATAATCCTCATACAACAGATTGATGTCACTCGAGTCGCTCAAGATGTAGACGAAGCGTGCACACTGCTAAGACAACGCTACATCGAACATGTGAAGGGTTTTGGTGATGGGCAAAAGGGACGACTGACAACCTTTTTGCGAGATCACAGCGACCCCGAAAAGCGCAGCATGGTGGTTCATGGGGTTGACAACGAAGGTAACCGTTGCACCACCGAGATTCCGCTGCATGGTGAAGGAATTGGTGCTGTGTACGGGACAGACATCGAGTCTTGCTACGCCTTGGGTAAGGCGTTTGCTGAGAAATTGGTGAGCTCGCTGACAACAAGACTCGGTGACCTCGAGAAACTAGAGGGTGCCAAGCTGTTCAGGCCCTTGACGTATCCCGATCGGAGCACGGGTCTTCGTGATGCAACATTCAACGCTCATTTGGACAAGCTTCTCGACCTCTTTGATAACAAGCTGCCAGGTAAGATGATCCACCCTGTTTATTAATGAGTAGTTCTTTTTAAAAAATACATCCCAATCAAACTGCAAATTCCTTCTTTGTTCTATGCTCATTTTTTCTTCCTTTCTAAACCACCAACAAACAGGAATCAGCAAAGTTGCGTGTGATGGTGAGATCTCCATGCTAACAGCAACCTTGTCTAGGCATCATCGCAACGAGGGGTTCAACCAATGCCTGCACAACGTTCTCAGCAACAACGCATGGACCACCAATTATCCCCAGCTTGTGCATCTGTGGAGGGCTGTTTCAGTGCTTCCCTTGAGCACGGTGGAGTGCGAGCGTGGGTTTTCCCGCCAAAATGTCATCAAAAGTTGGGACAGGACTTGCCTAAACGACGTGAGGCTCGCCGAGCTAATGGCTGTGAAAATGATAAATTATGATGTGGACTGGAGTGTTGTTCACAAGGTGTGGGATGATGCGAAGTCTAGGCGTCCCTGCAGGTTGGTGGCAGACGATAGGTAAGTGGTAGAGGTTTTAACATTTTCATGCAACTAATTACTGTTGGTGCAACTAGATGTCATGCATTGTTTTAAGGACAGCCTTTAATACTGGTACTAGTGCTAAATTGATCGCATGCTCCTTTATCTCTGGAGTGAAATAGAGCAAAAATTTTACTAACTCTGATTTATCCGAGCTTTTCTTAAAGGCAGGGTCTCAAGTGACCAAGTGCTTTGCAGTCGATGAAAAACGGGCCTGTCTAATTGGTGTACAAATTTGGGGCCAAAGTTTTGACAAGTCGAGACTCTCCAAAGAGCCCACGTTTCGCCCAAGTGCTTTGCAGTTGCACGGCCAACCCTTACATGAGACCCTGGCTTTAAGACAGCCCTGAATATCAAGGGAAGATGCTGGGTACACCCTGGGTTTTAAGAGCAACTTTGAAGGGGGTGGCATTTCGTCCGACCTGTAAAAAATCCTAACATAAGCCCTCTCGATTCTCGAGAAGCTATTGGCTGTATCGTGCTGACATATTGTCATATGCTGACTCAGCGCAGCTGAATCTCTCGAGAATGCCGCCGAGTCGCTTTCCTCCAACACCCAGCTTCTCGAACCTCGATATTGCCGACAATACAACATTAGGGCGTGGAACATTTTGACGACCACGCCCAATGGTCAAAAGGATGGTTGTTCCTGGCGATTGCGAAGAATTTAAGGAAACCCCATTGACTGGCACGCATGGTAGTCACCCTGAATTGACCGAAAATCATTGGGATTTCTCGTAAGTATTTAGATCCTCTCCTCACACTAATCCATTAAAAAAGGGTACATCGTTTGACTTCCAGTATTTACCCTTAGTTGTCTTTGCCTAACGTCCTACTCATTTCCCGCTCTCCCCAATATCCCGCACCCCTTTCGAATGCTTGAAGTGGGAACAAACGTTTCTGCTTAGTGGGGGTGGTTTCTGTTGGGTGCCCCACGTGCTGGCGAGCAGAATAGCTTAGAAATTTCGCACCCTTCGCAGCTCTGTTACACCCTTCGCTTTCGCCAGATGCAACCAAATGGTCGATAAATCGGCGTGGTCGACAAAAAATGTTCCACGCCCTTATGTATCAACAGCAGCTAGCATTTTCTTTATTTTCAACCTGTCCTTACCTTCCACCCTATCTCCGAAGGCGTGTCAGGCTGCTTACAGCTCAGCAGTAGCCACGCAGAGCATCGATTTTCCGATCAAAGCTGCTTCTAGGGCCTCCACGTTCTGTGATCCAGGCAGCCTTTCGTTCCAATAGCCACGCAGAACCCTAGCGCGCTTCGTCGCCCACCAATGGCGTGCCTAGCTGCTAGCTCCCAAGTCGCCTTCAGAGGCGTGGCTCTCAGCAATCCGCAGGTTAGCATCTGCTTCAACGCGTTAGAACCCATGCCGCATCCTCTAATTACTAAGGCTGTTTCCAAGGTCGCAGATTCAGTCCTAACGGCGGTATCATGGTGAATGCAGGCGGTCAGCAGCGCGAGCGTGGGTGGAAATGCCGCAAGACGGTCGGTGGTTCGCTGCAAGGTGGCCTCGCCTGGAGTCGAGAAGGCCGATGCGTCCGCGTCCGCCGGCGAGTACACGCCGACCAACGACGCGTCCACGATGAACCTCATGACCGGCGCCATCAATGCGCTCTTCGGCTTCCAGGTAGATTGGGCGCTTAGCGGAGATATCGGAAAAGAGAGTGCAATTTTCAAAAGAAGAAGAAAAAATACTCAGGCTGTGGGCAGAGGCCACACCGCCAGCTGATCAAACATGATCACAGAGTGCGAATGTCACATTGATCACTTTCTTGATACCTCTCCCTCCTCACCCCCCTGCCTCCCCCCAACCCCCCCTCCCCCCTTCCGATCCGTGCCTTCGTGTCCGCATCGCAGCCTTTTTTCAGGTTCGCAGCGGGAAAGGCGCGTGAAATGATGGTCAAACGAGGCGACACCATCGGATTTCCATGGGCGCCGCGCCTCGCGGAGCTCAAGCGGCACGACTGGGACGAGGAGCTGCGATTGGTTGTTGCCACGAGCCGCGTCCCCAGGGATGCCAGCGGGGAGTACGTCTACCCGGAGTACTACACGAAACCGTTCCACGCGTACGAAAAGGGTAACCTTTCGCTGGACGCGGCTCTGGAGGTGGAGCTGGCAGCGAAGGCTGTGCACGCACCAGTTTTCGACCCCGAGGTGTGTTTTTTTTTTGCTAGTCTGAGGCACCAGAACCAGTTCGTGACTCCTTCAAACATGTTGAAGCGAACCCGACCAGCGGATCTTCGAGAGAAAGCGCAAATGAAGGAGGAGGGGTCCATTGATTTAGCGCGAAGTACGTGAGAGCATAGAACACACACCACAAGAAGCTGGTCAATTTCTGGGGTCCCATCCCGTACAACTCTCTCCCGTTCTCCCCTGTGTCCCCTGTTCTTCCCCCCGCCCACCCGTTCCCGCCACCACTTCCTCGTTCCCTCCTCTCCCTTTCTCCCCTCTCCTCCATCCTATCCCTCCCACTCGACCCACGATAGAGCAAGAAGCTAGACCCCGAGGGCGACGCGAATCTACGGAGGGGGTACCACGCGAAGCTGGTGGAGCAGCTGCGCATCCACCCCAAGAGCATCGTCGACCTGGGCTGCGCGTCCGGCCTCAGCACCTTCGCCCTCGCCGAGGTAAGTGTGCATGCCGCCTTGTGCGCTTGTTTCCACGCAAGCCTCGTGTGAGCCTGCTTCCAGTACAGCCCAAGAGCATCGTCGACCCGGGCTGCGCGTCTGGCCTCAGCACCTTCGCCCTCGCCGAGGTAAGTGTGCATGCCGCCTTGTGCGCTTGTTTCCACGCAAGCCTCGTGTGAGCCTGCTTCCAGTACAGCCCAAGAGCATCGTCGACCCGGGCTGCGCGTCTGGCCTCAGCACCTTCGCCCTCGCCGAGGTAAGTGTGCATGCCGCCTTGTGCGCTTGTTTCCACGCAAGCCTCGTGTGAGCCTGCTTCCAGTACAGCCCAAGAGCATCGTCGACCCGGGCTGCGCGTCTGGCCTCAGCACCTTCGCCCTCGCCGAGGTAAGTGTGCATGCCGCCTTGTGCGCTTGTTTCCACGCAAGCCTCGTGTGAGCCTGCTTCCAGTACAGCCCAAGAGCATCGTCGACCCGGGCTGCGCGTCTGGCCTCAGCACCTTCGCCCTCGCCGAGGTAAGTGTGCATGCCGCCTTGTGCGCTTGTTTCCACGCAAGCCTCGTGTGAGCCTGCTTCCAGTACAGCCCAAGAGCATCGTCGACCCGGGCTGCGCGTCTGGCCTCAGCACCTTCGCCCTCGCCGAGGTAAGTGTGCATGCCGCCTTGTGCGCTTGTTTCCACGCAAGCCTCGTGTGAGCCTGCTTCCAGTACAGCCCAAGAGCATCGTCGACCCGGGCTGCGCGTCTGGCCTCAGCACCTTCGCCCTCGCCGAGGTAAGCATGGACCCAAGAAACGTCCCTCTGCATCGCTCTTTCCAAGCATCCGCCTTGTGCATCCCTTCCGAGACCCTCGTCGCTATGCCTTCATTCATTCAGGGATGCTGGTGCGGCCCCTCATTCCCCTGCCGCTGATGCTGTTCACTTGACTCTCCTGCACAGCGTCAACCAAAGGACCTCTTGACTCCCCCTTGCTATTCGCCTGACTGCCCCGTCCTTTGGTTCGCCCTGTGCAGACCTTCCCTGATGCGGAGTTTATTGGAGTGGACCTCTCGCCCTACTTCGTTGCAGCGTCCAACTACAACGTCCGGGAGAAGAGCAAGCAAGCGGTGAGATTCGCAACGGCTCTTGTAAGGCGAGCATGCCGCGCTCTGCTCTGCCCTCATTGCACGTCACAGGAAGAGGCTTACTCAAACCTTTCTCGCTCACACTATGTCTATCAGGTCAACTCGTTGATTTGTCCTGCCGGTCCTTGAAAAAACGTTCCGCGTCACGCATTCCTTTACTCAATCCCCAATAGTTCATTCCTTAGGCGCCTCATAAACGAACAGCTCACTTTAGAGTCCCCCCTACACCCTTCAAAACCTGCCAAGGGTACGAGCTGCCCTTGCATTCACTTTTGAGGCACCATGATCGCTCAACGTACTCCAACACACCCATCCCAACCCTTCCCAACCCGGCAGGGTCGCGAGCTGCCATTCACGTTCATCCATGCAGCAGCAGAGGACACGGGGCTGCCTGCTGAATCCGTGGACCTAGTGTCCATCTGCCTTGTGTGCCACGAGCTGCCACGATCAGCCACCAAGAAGGTGAGGAGAACAGCAAATGCGAGTGCTAGAGACCTGGTGCGCCACGAGCTGCCCAGTCCTCCATGAAGCAGGTGCGAGAGTGAGGGCTAGAGGGAGCGAAGCAGGCATGTGTGTGTGCGCGTGGTGGAAGCACCCCATCACCCAGTTGCCTGCTGGCTGGGTGGACCTGGCGTCCATGTGCTTCATGCGTCACGAGCTGCTGTGGTAAGCCAACGAGAATGTCAGAGCGTTGTTGTGAGTGCAAGTGCTAGAGAGGGGCGTGAGAGGTGCGAGTCTTCAGAGGGGTCTGCCGTGGACCTGTCATGCATTCGTCTGTTCTGACAGCTGTCTGTTGAACTCCAGGCCCTAGGAAAGTACACGAGTGTGCTACAGGGTGGCTCCCTGGACAGTCAAGGAGGGTAGTGTGTGGTTGCTACTGAAGTCATTGAGGCTTGGCACAGGGGAGCCGATGGCTGATGATGCACCTGCTGAGAGGCTCCAGATTTGAGGTGTCACTGGATCCATGTTTCTGAACTCGCGCGTTCTCAACCATCCCTGTGCACTACTCACATTATCAAGTAGGCACCTCAAAGTCTGAGGTCAAGGGGGGTGACTTGAGGCACCGCAAGAACCTTCTTCCTGAACCCACTTCACAGTGACCACCCCATCGCCACTGTGCAGATCATAGAGGAGGCGCACCGCATCTTGAGGCCAGGGGGCGCGTTTGCAGTGATGGAGATGAACCCGCGCTCGCCCTTCTTCCAGAAGATCTCCAACAACCCCTTCACCTTCGCTGCTGTACGTGGCGTTTCCTGTGTGCAATGGGTTGTGTGCTATGTGATGTGCGCTATGTGCTGTGCGTTATGTGATATGTGCTGTGCGTTATGTGCTATGTGCTGTGCGTTATGTGCTATGTGCTGTGCGCTATGTGCTATGTGCTGTGCGCTATGTGCTGTGTGCTGTGCGCTATGTGCTGTGTACTGTGTGCTACGTGCTGTGCCCTATGTGCTATGTGCTGTGTGCTGTGTGCTGTGCGCTGTGCGTTATGTGCTGTATGCTGTGTGCTATGTGCTGTGTGCTATGTGCTGTGTGCTATGTGCTGTGCGCTATGTGCTGTGCGCTATGTGCTGTGCGCTACGTGCTGTGTGCTGTGTGCTCTGCGCTCTGTGCTATGGGCTCTGTGCTGTGTGCTCTGTGCTGTGTGCCATGGTGCTGTGTGCTTTGTGCCATGTGCTGTGTGCTTCCTCTAAGGACCATCTACCTGTTCTTCTACTCTAGACTCCCGTTCCCTCCACTACCCTTCTCTCCACTGCCCCTCTCTCCACTCCCCTTTGTCTCTCTACTCCCCTTCTCTCGACTCCCCTTCTTCTCTCCATTCATTCTTCTCACCACTCCCGTTCTCTCCACTCCTCCTCCCCCCTCTTTCCACCTTTGCACCATCTGCAGTTCAAGGCAACGGAGCCATACCTGGATGACTACCGCACGTTCCCCATTGAGGATGCCATTGCAGAGAGAGGCTTTGAGTACCCGCAGCAGATGGAGAGCAGCCCTCGCCACCGCTGCATTGTTGCCCACAAGCTGTAAAGCGAGTTGGTATTCAGCCTGGAGCTTTTGTGTAATGCAATGTTCAATAAAGGGGGTTGAGGTTACCCAACATGTTGTTCCTTGGAGAAAGGAAGAAGTTCGCATCGTAATTGCTCACAATGATTTGGCATGGGTCACAACAATCACTATGGATTACCCTAGCAATGCAGCAAGCATTGACACTAGCCCATTTGGAACTGGTTAGAGAGGGAAGGTCAAGCCGATGCGGAGAAGCTTCAAGAGAGTTCAGGCTTTGGAGTTCAAGTTTACTGCACTAATGCATGCAAGCCCATGCATGCACCCCACTTGCTAGCCAACTTGTTCCGCAGGCTACTGTTAAACTGTGCTATGTTGGTAGGCTGTAGTGGGGTAGCCAATATGGGGTACAACCCCAACTAGGGTTTGCTACTTGTACCCAATTCTTCCATTCAATGCACCATTCTTGCCTAGTCCTGTTGATATGGTATCAGAGCAGGAGGTCCCTAGGACCTACCGACCGTTTTTTTAGGGCCCACCACCGCTCGCATGCGGTTACCACGCTACCCCGTGCCCTAGCCTCGTAGCGCCCTCGTGCGCCCTCGTTAGCGCCCTCGCGCGCCCTCGTTAGCGCCCTCGCGCGCCTCTCGTTAGCGCCCTCGCGCGCCCTCGTTAGCGCCCTCGTTAGCGCCCTCGCGCGCCCTCGTTAGCGCCCTCGCGCGCCCTCGTTAGCGCCCTCGCGCGCCCTCGTTAGCGCCCTCGCGCGCCCTCGTTAGCGCCCTCGCGCGCCCTCGTTAGCGCCCTCGCGCGCCTCTCGTTAGCGCCCCTCGTTAGCGCCCTCGCCCGCCGCGCTGCTCGTCGCGCCGCCAGCCGCGCTGCCCGCCATTAGCGCCGCCCATTCGCCGCGCTACCCGCTCACGCTGCCCGCTCGCAGCGTCGCCCGCCCGCCGCGCTGCCCGCTCGCAGCGTCGCCCGCCCGCCGCGCTGCCCGCTTGCAGCGCCGCCTGCCCGCCGCGCTGCCCGCTTCGTAGCCCGCCCCCCGCACTGCCCGCTCGCAGCGTCGCCCGCCCGCCGCGCTGCCCGCTCGCAGCGTCGCCCGCCCGCCGCGCTGCCCGCTTGCAGCGCCGCCTGCCCGCCGCGCTGCCCGCTCGCAGCGTCGCCCGCCCGCCGCGCTGCCCTCTTTGAGCGCCGCCCGCCCGCCGCGCTCCCCACCGAGCTACCTACCTGCAGCGCTGCGGCAGCTTGCTTTGCTCAGTCGCACTGTCGCTATGGCTTCCATCCGCGTGCTGTCGTTCGATGCTGAGGGCCGCCCTGTGAAGTTCGCCACTTGGCTGGATGACCTGCAGCTGTTCCTTCTGAGCGATAGCAAGGAGCATGTGTCGCTCTATGATTACGCGTCTGGTGCTGCGCCTGCCCCTCCTGCCACAGCTGAGCTTAGTGTTCGTTCCCACTGGCAGACTCGTGACGCAGCTGCTCGCCTAGCCATTCGCAGTCACCTGCCGTTAGCTGAGCTCGAGCATTTTGGCGACTGCAAAACCGCTAAGGCCCTGTACGACGCTGTCGTTGCTCGCTACTCCTCGCCTGCCACAGCCGAGCTTAGCCGCCTCATGCTGCCTTACCTGTTCCCTGAGCTGTCCACCTTTGCTACAGTCGCCGATCTTATCACCCACCTTCGCACTAGTGATGCTCGCCTGCGTGCCGCCCTTCCCACCGAGTTCTGCGCTAAGAATCCCCCTCCACTGTACTGGACACTCCACTTCATAGTCACCCGTCTCCCTGACACCCTCAGCTCAGTTCGAGACCACTTCCTTGCTCGCTGTCCCACTGAGCTCACAGTCGCCCTCCTAGAGGAGCAGCTGCTAGCGGCCGAGAAGAGCATTGTAGCTGTCGGTGCTGCTCGTGGCGCTCCTCGCACCCCCATCTTTGAGGGGTGTTCTCCCTCTCCCCTCGCTCCCTCCTACGCTACTGCTGCTGCTGTTGACTTCCTTGGTGCTGAGTCTGCTGGCGCTGCTTCTGCTCCTGGTGGGAGGCGCCGCACCGGCAAGGGCAAGGGGGGCAAGGGTGGCGGGGGTGGCGCTGGGGGGGGAGGAGGTGGGGGAGGTGGGGGGGGAGGCGGTGCTGGAGGGAGCGGTGGCGGGAGCGCTGGTGGGAGTGGGGTCGGCGGTGGAGGCGGGGGCGGCGGAGGAAGCAGTGGCAGTGGTGGCGGCGGCGGCGGTGGCGGCGGTGGCGGTGGTGGCGGTGGCGGTCGGAGCGGTGGTAGTGGTGGCGGCGGAGGTCGGAGTGGAGGCACTGGCTCGGGCCAGAGCTCCCAGCAGCAGCAGCGTCCCCAGACGACCCAGCAGCTTCGTGAGTGGCTTGCTCAGCGTGGGACGTCGGGGGGCAGTGTCCGCTGTTCCTATGTCATTCGCACAGGTGACCGCAAGGGACAGACGTGTGGGAAGTTCCACACCCCGTACCGCTGCTTCTCCCGCCTTGACGACGCTTGGCGTGAGGAGATGGGCGAGGATGTTGAGCGCCCCCGCTGGGCGGAGCTGATGAGGGCTGGTGTTGATATCTTTGCTCTTGACTATGATGCTATTATTGCTGCCATGTATGCATTGACTGTTAGTGCCGAGGGAGACTGTTACTTGTGTGTGCCGCCTGACCCAGGTATAGAGCCCGCTGCCCTAGGTACTAGTGAGTCTGCTCTCTCTGGTATGGTGCCCCCTGTACCTGCTCCCTCCAGTGCTGTCCCTGCTGCTTGCGAGACTGCTCTCTCAGGTACCGCACCGGCTGAGGCCTGTCACACCTTCACCCTTGACTCAGGTGCTTCCCGCTGTTTCTTTCGTGACCGTACTGAGCTCACACCGCTTCCTGCACCGGTCCCAGTCTCCTTGGCTGACCCCTCTGGGGGCCCAGTCCTTGCACGGTCCACCACTGTGCTCCCGTGTCCAGCGGTTCCGTCTGGCTCGTTGTCGGGTTTCCACCTCCCCTCGTTCTCGACGAACCTGGTGAGCAACGCTGTCATCCAGGATCAGTGGGTTGACACCTTTACCCCTGGAGGACAGCGTGTGGCGATCCTCACGTGCTCCAGGACCGGCCGTCACCTGGCTACGTTTACCCGTCGGCCGGGGTCGAGTCTCTACACACTGACCACTGCGTCTCCCCAGGTCGCTGCTGTCGGTCAGGTGTCCGCGTCAGGTCTGGTAGCCCACGCCTGTGAGTGTCGTTCCCTGTCGCACCAGACTCTTCTCTGGCACCACCGCCTGGGTCACCCCTCCTTGCCACGCCTCCGTGGCATGCACCGTCGCCACCTTGTGTCTGGTCTTCCCAGGTCCCTCCCTCCCCTCCCTGCCTCGCCTGCGCCGCCTTGCCTTCCTTGCGTCGAGGGGCGGCAGCGCGCCGCTCCTCACTCCTCCTCGTTCCCCCCGACAGAGGCTCCTCTGCAGACCCTCCACCTGGACGTGTGGGGCCCAGCCCGCGTTCGTGGTCAGGGCGGTGAGCGGTACTTTTTGCTGGTTGTCGACGACTACTCGCGTTACACCACGGTCTTCCCCTTGCGCACCAAGGGTGAGGTCCCTGCTGTTCTGATCCCTTGGATCCGCACAGTTCGTCTCCAGCTCCGCCGCCGTTTCCGGACGGATCTTCCTGTCCTGCGTCTGCACTCTGACAGAGGTGGTGAGTTTTCCTCCGACCTCTTGAGGACCTTCTGTCAGGCGGAGGGCATCGAGCAGACCTTCACGCTTCCAGACTCCCCACAGCAGAATGGGGTTGCTGAGCGCCGCATTGGCCTGGTCATGGAGGTCGCTCGTACCTCCTTGGTCCACGCGGCGGCTCCCCATTTTCTGTGGCCGTTTGCTGTCCGGTACGCCGCACATCAGCTCAACCTCTGGCCCCGTGTCTCCTTGCCGGAGACCTCGCCCACACTGCGTTGGACGGGGGAGGTTGGCGATGCGTCGCGCTTCCGGGTGTGGGGTGCTCGTGCCCTTGTCCGCGATACGTCCGCGGACAAGCTCTCCTCCCGCACGCTTCCCTGTGTCTTCCTTGGCTTTGTCCCTGACACGCCTGGCTGGCAGTTTTACCACCCCACCTCGCGCCGGGTCTTCGCCTCTCAGGACGTCACCTTTGACGAGTCGGTCCCTTTTTACCGTCTCTTCCCCTACCGCACTGCCCCCCTCCCTCCCCCGCCGCTTTTCCTTGCTCCTGGTCCCCCTCCGGTAGACCCCCTTCCCCCTCAGGGTCCTGCTCCTTCAGGTGTCTCTCAGGTAGACCCTCCTCCCGTCGCTGAGCCTGTCGAGGTCACAGGTGACTCAGGTGCTGCTGCAGGTGGTGCTGCTGGGAGTGCTGAGCCTGGGGGTGCTGAGCCTGCGGGTGCTGGGCCTGGGAGTGCTGGGGCTGCGGGTGCTGGGACTGCGGGTGCTGGAGCTGAGGGTACTGTGCCTGAGAGTTCGGCGCCTGGGGGTGCTGAGCCTGGGGGTGCTGCGACTGGGGGTGCTGAGCCTGCGTGTACGGAGTCTGGGGGTGCTGAGCCTGGGGGTGCTGCGCCTGAGGGTACTGAGCCTGGGGGTGCTGCTACTGAGCCTACGGAGCCTGGGGTTGCTGCGTCTGGGGGTGCTCCGGTTCGGGGTGCTGAGCAGTCTCTCACACCGCAGCAGCTTCGTGACTGGTACGTCCGGCGCTTTCGCCGTTCTCGTGGCTCTGCTGGAGTTGGGGGTGCTGGAGCTGCTCGTCCTGGAGGTGCTCGTACTGGGGGTACTGGAGCTGCCGGGACTGGTTGTTCTGGGAGCACTGAGACTGGAGCTGCTGGAGCTGGGGACTCTGGAGCTGGCGGTGCTAGCGGAGTTGGAGCTGCCGGCTCTGGGGGTGCTCTTCCTGGCGGTACTGGAGCTGCTGGAGCTGACGACACTGGAGCTGACGGTTCTGGACACGGTGGTCCTGCTGGTTCTGGAGGTGCTGGCGAGGGGAGGTCTGACGCTGCTGGGGCCTCTGGTGCTGACGTCGCCGACTCGGGGGGTGCTGCGGCGGAGGGTGCTGGTCCTGGTGCTTCTGGTGCTGCGGGTGCTCGGGTCCCTACTCCTCTCAGTGGCGGACAGCCATGGACGCAGAGATGGCATCCTGGAAGTCCACAGGCACCTACGTCGACGAGGTTCCCCCTCCTGGGGCGAACATCGTCGATGGCATGTGGATTTTCAGGGTGAAGCGGCCGCCAGGTTCTCCGCCTGTCTTCAAGGCTCGTTACGTTGCTAGAGGCTTCAGTCAGCGTCAGGGGGTTGACTTCTTCCAGACCTTCTCCCCCACCCCGAAGATGACCACTCTTCGGGTTCTGCTGCACGTTGCTGCTCAGCGTGACTACGAGCTTCACTCTCTTGACTTCAGCACAGCATTCCTGCAGGGCAGCCTGCACGAGGAGATCTGGCTGCGCCGCCCACCTGGCTTTACTGGGTCGTTTCCTCCTGGTACCCAGTGGAGCCTCCGCCGGCCAGTCTACGGTCTCCGCCAGGCGCCACGTGAGTGGCACGACACACTGAGGACTACACTTGCGGCTCTTGGGTTCGCGCCGTCTACTGCTGACCCGTCGCTGTTTCTGCGCACAGACACGTCGCTGCCGCCGTTCTACATTCTCGTGTACGTCGACGACTTGGTCTTTGCTACTGCTGACACTGAGGCACTCGCTCGTGTGAAGTTGGAGCTGCAGAAGAGACACACCTGCACTGACCTGGGTGAGCTGCGTAGCTACCTTGGCTTGCAGATCACCCGGGACAGAGCACGCCGCACCATTACCCTGACTCAGTCACACATGGTGCAGCAGGTCCTTCAGCGCTTCGGCTTCCAGTTCTCCTCACCACAGGCCACACCTCTGGCTACCAGCCACTCGCTCTCAGCTCCACCTTCGGACGAGTCCGTAGAGCCGAGTGGCCCGTACCCAGAGCTTGTAGGCTGCCTCATGTACCTGATGACTTGCACGCGACCTGACCTCGCGTACCCTCTTAGCATCCTTGCTCGTTACGTTGCGCCTGGGAGACACAGGCGAGAGCACTGGGAGGCTGCTAAGAGGGTGCTGCGTTACTTGTGCAGCACATCAGGCATGGGGCTGGTGCTTGGAGGACGCGACAGAGTTGCCCTCACTGGTCACTCGGACGCTTCTTGGGTGGACGACCTGGCTACGCAGCGGTCGTCACAGGGTTACACCTTCAGCCTTGGCTCTGGTTCTGTCTCGTGGCGGTCCACCCGCTCTTCTTCTGTTCTCGGCTCTAGTTGTGAGGCTGAGATCTACGCCACGGCCATGGCTGCACAGGAGTTACGCTGGCTCACCTACCTGCTGACTGACTTGGGAGAGCGGCCTAGTTCTCCTCCAGTTCTGTACGGTGACAACAAGGCGGCCCTTGCCTTGTGTCAGGAGCACAGACTGGAGCACAGGACGAAGCACATTGCTCTTCGCTACTTTCTTGCTCGAGAGCTGCAGCAGCGAGGTCAGCTTCGGCTTGTGTACGTGGACTCGAAGGCCAACACTGCTGATATCTTCACCAAGGCGCTTCCGCCTAGTGATCATCAGCGGCACTGTACTTCCTTAGGCCTTGTGTCCACATTCCCTCATTTGCTTACTGCTTGACTTTCTTTGTACTGTCCTTTATATATATCTTGTTGCTTGCTTGCTAGGTCTTGATCACTGTGTTGCTTGTCTTGTACTATATCTAGCACTGCATGTGAACTGGCCTTGTGGCCTTTGCTTGTGCTCGGAGTGTGGTGACGTTGTGATCCACCCTGGGCTTGCTTTGCTTTGCTGGACTGGTCTTGTGACCCTTTGTTCTCCCCCACTTTGCCTATGGGGGTGTGTTAAACTGTGTTATGTTGGTAGGCTGTAGTGGGGTAGCCAATATGGGGTACAACCCCAACTAGGGTTTGCTACTTGTACCCAATTCTTCCATTCAATGCACCATTCTTGCCTAGTCCTGTTAATAGCTACAACCAGCCATCCCACTCACTGCCGTGCTTACGAGCAGAATCATAGAATCACCAGCGTCATAGGATTTGCCAACAGCATCATTCACAGCTTTGCATTAACAAGCATGCTAAGCCAGCAGCCTGGGAGCGTCAAACGCAAGGCCCAGCAGCGTGGCTTCAGACGCCTTCAACCTCCTAATACTCTCCTCCAGCCGAGCCCTTCGCTGCTGGTCCACCGCCTTGAGAGCTGCAATCTTGGCAACATCCCCACCATGAATCTCCCGCCACACAGCGCTGTCAGTGTCATCCAGCAGGGCAGTCTCAAGGCACATGCGAATCTCCATGGGAATGGCATCACACAACCGCTTGTGCATCACCTTGGCGTATGAGGTCCCTCGCTGCTTGGTCTGCAGGTCCCTCGCTGCTTGGTCCTCATTGCTGATCAGGTTGCCGAGTGAAGCACGGCTGGAAGCGAAACCATCAACAGAGGGAAACAGGGAAGCTTGGCCTTGAGCATTGGCTTTTTTGAAATCGGCCATCTTCACATGGATCTTGGAAACTGTATCCATGTAGTAGTGGTTAAGCGTGAAAATCACCTTCCTTTCCTTTTTCAGCGTGTCCTGAACGAAGCGGTTTGCAGACTCTTTGGCCTCCCTCAGAGCATTGAGCCCTTGAAGGTGAACCACGTTGTTCAGCCCAGGGTAGATCCCACAGACGTGAGATGCCACGGCTTGCTGCACCTCGGTTGCATACGCAAAGCAGTCATTCACCAGGAGCAAGCACAGCCCTTCGATGCTATCCACCACCTCCTGAACCAGCTGCCTCACCACTGCCTGATCCAGCATGTTCGGGAGTGAAATTCCCGCCACCTCTTTCAACGCCTCTTTACACCTTTCAGAGTAGTCCTTTCCTAGGAATTTTGGGAGAGCAGAACGCATCTCAGCATCGAATTTGTTGAACCTCTCGTGCAGCCTCGCAGCGTAGTGCATTTCTGCGTTGCCTTGAAACGAACCATACCTTCCGCTGATAACGCCACTCATCAGGTCACGTCGCTCCTGGATCGCTGAAGAAATCACACTCAGAGCTGCAGCGGTGGACGTGGCAGCAAGCGGAATCGTCTGCAATTCAGATTCCTTGGCAGCAAGCGCTTTCTGAATGGCCTGTCTGATCCTTGGAATGCTGTCTGCAACCCTCTTGGCCTGAATCTCCGTCAAGCGTTGAGCCAAGGCGGGAATCCCAAGGGAGTGGGACTCAATCTGGCTCAATTCCGGATGGCTATTGAAAAAAGCCGCTTCTGCTTTTCTTGCATCGTCATGAGTAGCATCCGCGTCAGTCTTGTTCCTGACACACACGTATCCAAGCCCGATCCGCACGGAATTCGACTGAATCTTCTCGTAGAGCCCATCGGGCGCGCGGTCGACCTTGGTGACGACAGCGAGGGTGCGATCGCCGTCAGGGTCCACCTCTTGCGACATCACGATCGACTCGCACGTGGAGAAATCCACCTCCGCTGCCAGCACGTTCAGAATCACGCTCTCCTTCGGAGTGATGTAATTCATTATCATCGCCTTCACCTGATTGTAAATGTCCTTCGGTTGATCTTCGATAGGTACGCGTGTGATTCCCGGAAGATCTACCAGGGTTAGGTCAGGCAGATCCGGTCGTCGCACTTCCAGGGTGATCGGGCAATTCATGACGCCTTTCCGGCTGCCAGCCAAGGTTACCGTTGCCTCGGAAATCTCCTTCTCGATCAACGCTTCGTCAGCCAAGCCCTTGGACACTTTACCAGAAACAGCGGTGTATTCTATCGTGATCTCATCCTGACCGTCGACGCACGATTGGAGCCTCAGGATCAACGGCACGCGAGTAACGATCCCCTTGCCTCGCGGCAGGTTAATTCCGGACAAGTTCTCGAGCACTGACGACTTGCCGCTGGATTGATCGCCGACGACGACGATAGTCGGCAGCTCAATTCCTTCCTCCTTGAGACCCAAGACTCGCAGCTTGTCGATCGCGTCGAGCATTGGACGGACATTTTCGTTGAAGGAGGAAATGAGCGGAGCCATGGCAGGAAGTGAAGTGTTCTGCTGAGAAGCCTTGGAGGTGGGACGCAAAGGTGCAACCAGAAAGCGTAGCATACTTTGCAGTGTTGCTTCCTTGATCCAACCCTTCTTATAGGCAGCAAATGGGCCGTCATACCCATAAACGGGCCCTAATCCGTGTCATTTCGCGCGCTCGCAGCGCGACTCACGTGGAGCCAACGTCACAAAAGGAATTAAGGTCACGGGACCACTCAGATCTCAAACTCACGGATCTACTCACAAGTTCGAATAACTCGCAAGCATTGCTGGTGATAACTACATGACGATTGTCGAGGGACACTCTACGCTCTAAGAGTGCAACCATTGTGTAAAACGACGTGCGAATCCAGCGGCGCAAAACGAGACATGTATCCTCTGCAGCTCTGTTTCTGGCATTAGATAGTGCTGAACGTCATGTTGCGTCCTATGCAGTTAGGCTTGCGTCAAAGCCATGGCTTCTGCCCCTTGGCTACCGTTTCAGCGATTCCTTGGTCACAGGTGTGGAGTGTCTGCGAAAAAGGCGTCCTCGTTGTGATGGGATGGAACCCATCTTCAATACAGCGTGACGCAACTGCATCATAACTTGTGGAACAATCCGTTTATCAAATAATTCAGCTAGCAAGGCAAGAAAATAACAAAGAACATAGAGATTCTGCTGGAAACAAACATAAGTCCAGTACTTCAAAAAATGAATCACATAAGTTTCGTGCGACTTAGGCAAGATGGTAATATAAACCAATGCGCACTATAAATTCTTAAATAATGTGCACGATATTCTATTACTTATTGATCCTTTGCGAATACTCTGATTATGAATCCTTATTAGCGGATTATTTCATTGTTTCCATAAGAATAAGAAAAATCCAAGTTGTTTAGATTGCATGCAAAAAAACTTACATCTTTATTTCTCTTCCAGATTTAGTTGCTTGATCTGGAGGTTGGAATACTGTTGCGTGACATTGTATCGAACCTTGGACACAGAAAGTCCACATGACCCGAGGTAGTGATGCAAGCCATGGCTGATGCACAAGCAAAACGCCATAGCTTTTGTAACACACGAGGGGACAGCTTCAGGTCGCCCAGGACCGAATGCTGGAAAACAAGAAAACGTACGGCTTGTTTCGCGGCGTGTTGTTTCTTTAATGTACGTTAGATTCCACAATGGCCACACCTTTGACAGTTGCTAGGAAGTCTCTTCACCACCCTCAAGCATTCGTCACCGCGAATGGGGTGGCAGCCTCTCTTCCGTGAAGAGCCCGTGGGCTTTACATCTTTATGTCGCTGGCGTGATCAGTGCTGCGAGTACATGACGTGACAGGTGGCCGAGTAGCCGTCCTTGGCTGGTAGGATGGGCCGTCTGCTGCCGGATAAGAAGGCCTAGCTTTGAGCTAGGTACTATCATTGTGCATGGCGCTCCGCTCTCTAGTCCCTGGTCGCTATTTCACGGAACCTACTCGCCTCGCCATGGCTCCTCCCGCCTCCTCCTCTAACGAGAATGTCCATCTTATGATCAGTGCGATTCGGGTTCTAGGTTTGAAGGAAGAAGGGATCGAGCTCCCGATGGTCGTCATGATCGGTGATCAATCCAGCGGCAAGACTTCTGTTTTAGAGAACCTTTCCGGAATCAGCCTGCCACGAGGCAAGGGGTCCGTCGCTCGAGTGCCGTTAATCCTGCAGCTGCAGTCATGCGCGAACGGACAGGATTCGATAAAAATCGAGTACACCCCTTCTTCTGGTAAGGTGTCTAAAGTCTTACCTGATAAGGGGATGATTGAGCCGGAAATTCTCGAGGCGACGGTGGCCTTAGCCGGGAACCAGAAAGGCGTCCTAAATTCCCCCATCACGTTGCAAGTGCAACGACCCGGCTTGCCTGACCTAACACTCGTAGATCTCCCGGGAATCACGCGCGTTCCTGTTGAAGATCAGCCAAAGGACATATACAGTCAGATCAAGGCGATGATAATGAATTACATCACTCCGAAGGAGAGCGTGATTCTGAACGTGCTGGCAGCGGAGGTGGATTTCTCCACGTGCGAGTCGATCGTGATGTCGCAAGAGGTGGACCCTGACGGCGATCGCACCCTCGCCGTCGTCACCAAGGTCGACCCCGCGCCTGATGGGCTCTACGAGAAAATCCAAGCGAATTCAGTGCGGATCAAGCTTGGTTATGTGTGTGTCAGGAATAAGACTGACACGGATGCTTCTTACAAGGATGCAAGGAAAGCAGAAGCCGCCTTCTTTGATAACCATCCCAAATTGAGCCGGATCGGGTTAAGCTCCCGCGGAGTTCCGGCATTGAGTAAACACCTGATGGAGACTCAGGCCAAGAGGGTAGCCGACAAGATCCCACAAATCAGGAAGGCTATCCAGAAAGCCCTTGTTGCGAAGAGGCGTGATGTAACGAGTGGCGTCATCAGCGGGAAGAATGTCATTGCCAGTGAGAAGCAAGGCCACCCTCCAAGCAACGAGACGGTGCTCTACTCTGCTAGGCTTCGCGAAATGTTCAACAAATTTGAGGCCCAGATGCGGGCTGCTCTCCCGGACTTCCTTGGTGCAGACTACACTGAGAGGTGTAAGAAGGCGTTAACAGAGATGCCCGAAATTCCTCTTCCGAACATGCTGGATCAGGCTGTGGCGAGGAAGCTGGTTCTGGAGGTGGTGGAGAGAATTGAAGCGCCGTGCCTGCAGCTGGTGAATGACTGTTTCGCCTTTGCAACCGCAGTGCAACAAGTTGTGGTGGCACATGTCAGTGGGATACATCCCGGGCTGCACGATGTCGCTCAGCTTCATTCAGGCCTGCACGCTCTGAGGGAGGCCAAGGATTCTGCAAACCGCTTTGTTCGGCTCCTGTTAAGAAACGAGAAGAAGCTGGTCTTCACACTTAACCACAGCTACATGGATACTGTCTCACAAATCCAAGCACTGATTGCTGATTACAAGAAAGCTAAGCCAGATATTGAGAATGGAAGCTTCCCTCCTGTACCCTCTGTTGAAGATTTCGCTTCCAGCACTGCTTCGCTCACCAACCTGATCAGCAATGACGATCAGGCAGCAAGGGATCTGCAGATCAACATGTTTTCGTATGCCAAGGTGATGCACAAGCGGCTGTGTGACGTGATCCCCATGGAGATTCGGGTGTCCCTTGAAACCGCTCTGCTGGATGGCACTGATGTTGCCGTGTGGCGGGGGATTCATGGTGGTGATATTTCCATGATTCTAGCTCGAATGGAGGCTGATCAACAACGCAGGGCTCGACTGGAGGAGACAAACAGGTTGAAGGCTGCTAGCTAGCCAGGTCTGAAGGCTAATTATTGCATGTCGTGATATTGGAGTTCAGTTTCAAGGGTGAACTTGCATTCCCTGTGATAACTTCGGGACTTGGAAAAGTGAATGCAGAGAGTTACTGTTGTTCTTACCGTATCTCTCTTGACATTGATACAAGACTCCTTTGCAATCAGGGATGTTCGGTTCGGCAGTGGGAGGGCTTGTTGTTTCCTGTGACTGGAACTTCACAACCAGTTGGATGCTGCTATCATGCTCATCACATCAGGTGTGTGGCTCACGTTCAATCAATTTGTTGCGCCTCGTGTCATAAATTCGCTGCGCCTTATTTCGCATCAATCAGCTTCATGCAACTTTCCAAGGCTCCTCATACATTTTTCTCTGCCAATCCCTCTGTCAGTTTCCTCTGCCAATCCCTCTGTCAGTTTCCTCTGCCAATCCCCCTGTCAGTTTCCTCTGCCAATCCTCATGTCAAATTCCGTCGCCAGTTCCCCCCACCCACATACTCCCTAGAAATGTTTCATTGCCGTCGGCTGTATTTGTGCACTCTGTTCATTACTCTCGTCGTTTCCTTCCCAGCACAAGCAGGTTTTACTTCGTTACTACCACTGCCGCCCTACCCTGCCTCCTCTTACCCCACTCCCCTTCTCCTCCCGCCCCCTTCCCTCCATTCTCCCTCTCCACCCTCCTCACTCCCCCAACCCCACAGGTGACTCTTTATACAACGACTCCAATTGTGGCTCTGGAGATGTGCGTAAACACCTGTGATTATAACGAGGCTGCCAGGTCCCTTGGCACTCTATGCCCCACTCCTGGAACTCTCCACTTTCTCATCTGGCACCAGCCTTCCGCCTGCCTTCCTCCCCACCCCCACCTCATGCCCCTTCCAATCCCACTCTCTGAGAAGCCCACCTTTTTTGTTGCTTTCTTTACTGCCTTCAAAACACCCCCTCTCAGCCTGCACCCCAAGTCCGCCACATGTATGCAACAGGTGGTGCGCAGCGCAGCTCGCTTCTAATAGGGTTGGTGCATGATGCATGCGTCAGTGGAGTCCTGTAGGAATGCGCTTGAGGTGCATATGGATGTGGTACGGCATCAAGAGGGCGGGAGTGCGTGTGCTTGTACCACTCACTTTGAGAATTCTCGAGAGTGATACAAAACCTCCGGGATGAGTTATGAGGTTCGTATGTATGGTGTACAGGAAGGGCGTCAGTGGGTGTGGCATATGGTGAGCGTCAATGATTTTGGCATACCGGCACAAGGAAGTTACCAGGATTTGGTGATTCCAACTTCAGTGACACCATTGTGCGGAGCACGGCATCACCCATTCGTTCACGCTTCCGGCCTCTCCGCAGCAGAATGGGGTTGCTGAGCGTCGCATTGGCTTAGTCATGGAGGTCGCTCGTACCTCCATGATCCATGCGGCTGCCCCCCATTTTCTGTGGCCGTTTGCGGTCCGGTACGCCGCGCATCAGCTCAACCTCTGGCCCCGTGTCTCCTTGCCGGAGACCTCGCCCACACTGCTGTGGACGGGGAAGGTTGGCGATGCGTCGCGTTTCCGGGTCTGGGGTGCTCGTGCCTTTGTTCGCGATACCACCGCGGACAAGCTCTCCGCCCGCGCTGTTCCCTGTGTCTTCCTTGGCTTTGTCCCTGACGCGCCTGGTTGGCAGTTTTACCACCCCACCTCGCGCCGTGTCTTTGCGTCTCAGGACGTCACGTTCGACGAGTCGGTTCCCTTTTACCGTCTCTTCCCCTACCGCACTGCCCCACTCCCCCCCCCGCCGCTCTTCCTCGCTCCAGGTGCTCCCCAGGTAGACCCCCTCCCCGCTCCAGGTCCTGCTCCTTCAGGTGTTTCTCAGGTAGACCCTCCTCCCTTGACTGTGCCGGTTGAGGTCACTGGTGACTCAGGTCCTACTGAGGGTGGTCCTGCTCGGGGTGCTACTTCTGGGGGTGCTGAGCCTGGGGGTGCGGAGCCTGGGGGTGCTGAGCCTGGGGGTACTGCGCCTGAGGGTGCGGAGCTTGAGGGTGTGGAGCCTGGTGGTGCTGAGCCTGAGTGTGAGGGGTCTGGGGGTGCTGAGCTTGGCGGTACTGACGCTGGAGGTTCTGGAGCTACTGAGGGTGCTGGCGCTGGAGGTTCGGGAGCTGCTGGAGGGCCTAGTACTGGTGGCGCTGGAGCTGGAGGTTCTGGAGCTGCTGAGGGTACTCGCGCTGGAGGTTCTGGAGCCGCTGGAGGTACTGGCGCTGAGGGTGCTGACACCGGAGGTTCTGGAGCAGTTGGGGGTGCGGGCGCTGAGGGTTCTGAGTCTGCTGCTGCGCGGTCTCCTTGGAGTAGCCGCCTTCGTCCACGTGTGCCTCTCACCTCACAGCAGCTGCAGGACTGGTACGGTCGCCGTCAGCGTCGCGCTGCTGGAGCCCGGGGCTCTGCTGCTGGAGGTACTTCTGCTGTCGTCACTGGAGCTAGGAGTGGTGCTGGTCCTTTGTCTACTGGAGGTGCTGGAGTCGCTGGTTCTGGAGGTGCTCGTGCTGGAGACACTGCGGCTGGAGACCCTGGGACTGGAGGTGCTGGTTCTGGGGGTGCTGCTGCTGGAGACACTGGGACTGGAGACCCTGGGACTGGAGGTGCTGGTTCTGGGGGTGCTGCTGCTGGAGACACTGAGGTTGGAGACCCTGGGACTGGAGGTGTCGGCTCTGGGACTGGAGCTTCTGGAGGTACTGGAGCTGCTGGAGCTGCCGGTACGGGTGCAGCTGCGCCGACACGACTGTTCTTCGCTCCGCCGTCTCCGTCGTCTCTGCCGCCGTCTGCCTCTGTTCTTCGTCAGGTTCTTACTCTCCCGTCGTCTACTGGTCTTCCGTTACAGCCTGGCTCACCGCTGCCTGCTCCTTCTCCTTACACTGAGCAGACTGGTAGTCCTGCTGAGCGTCGTGAGCCTGCGTCGCGTCCTGTCTCGCCTGTTCGTCCTGGTCGTACCGGTCGTCGTGTTCCTCGTTCGCGTCAGCCGGCTGTCCCCAGTGCACACCTCGTAGTCCGTCGTCCTTCCTCTGCTCCGCAGCCTGTTCCTCTGCCGTCTCCTCCTGCGTCCTCTCTGCCTGCCGTTCCGGACCCTGAGTCTGACCGGTTCCGTGCTGAGCACCCTACTGTCACGCGTCTGCTAGCCACTGTTGTCACTGACCCGTCGTTTGAGTCTACTGCTGCGTCTGCTCTTGTCGCTGAGCTTGTTGACTTTGCTGCTGCCTGTCGTCTAGACTTCGCTGCCAGTCTTGTTGCTGAGTCTGAGTCTGTCTGTCCTCTGTCCGTCGGGGGTGAGTGTGCTCTTAGCACGGACGTCCTTGAGGACAGGCACGAGGACCTTGAGTGTCTTGCGGCTGCTGCGCCTCATCTCGTGGCCATGCTGCTTGCCCCTGAGGGAGACCCGGATGCACCAGACATCCCGACCCCGCGCTCTTACGCTGAGGCGATCGCGGGTGAGTACTCCTCTCAGTGGCAGACAGCCATGGACGCAGAGATGGCATCCTGGAAGTCCACAGGCACTTACGTCGATGAGGTTCCCCCTCCTGGGGCGAACATCGTCGATGGCATGTGGATTTTCAGGGTGAAGCGGCCGCCAGGTTCTCCGCCTGTCTTCAAGGCTCGTTACGTTGCTAGAGGCTTCAGTCAGCGAGAGGGAGTTGACTTCTTCCAGACCTTCTCCCCCACTCCGAAGATGACTACTCTTCGGGTGCTGCTGCACGTTGCCGCTCAGCGTGACTACGAGCTTCACTCTCTTGACTTTAGCACAGCTTTCTTACAGGGCAGCCTGCACGAGGAGATCTGGCTGCGCCGCCCACCTGGCTTCACTGGGTCGTTCCCTCCTGGTACCCAGTGGAGCCTCCGGCGGCCAGTCTACGGTCTCCGCCAGGCGCCACGTGAGTGGCACGACACACTGAGGACGACACTGGCGGCTCTTGGGTTCGCTCCTTCGACAGCTGACCCGTCGCTGTTCCTGCGCACCGACACTTCGCTGCCACCGTTCTACATCCTCGTGTACGTCGACGACTTGGTCTTTGCCACTGCTGACACTTAGGCTCTCGCTCAGGTGAAGTCGGAGCTGCAGAAGAGACACACGTGCACAGACCTGGGTGAGCTGCGCAGTTACCTTGGCTTGCAGATCACTCGGGACAGAGCACGTCGCACCATCACACTGACTCAGTCACACATGGTGCAGCAGGTCCTTCAGCGCTTCGGCTTCACCTGGTCCTCGCCACAGCACACTCCTCTGGCTACAGGTCACTCGCTCTCAGCTCCACCTTCGGACGAGTCCGTAGAGCCGAGTGGTCCTTACCCAGAGCTAGTGGGCTGCCTCATGTACCTGATGACCTGCACTCGTCCTGACCTTGCGTACCCTCTTGGCCTTCTCGCTCGCTACGTGGCTCCTGGTAGGCACCGACCAGAGCACATGGCTGCTGCTAAGAGGGTACTGCGCTACTTGTGCAGTACATCGGGCATGGGGCTCGTGCTTGGAGGACGGAGTGAGGTGGTCCTCACTGGGCACTCAGACGCGTCTTGGGTTGACGACCAGACTACACAGCGGTCGTCACAGGGTTACACCTTCAGCCTTGGCTCTGGCTCTGTTTCTTGGCGGTCTACACGCTCGTCTTCTGTTCTCAGCTCCAGTTGTGAGGCTGAGATCTACGCCACTGCCATGGCTGCACAGGAGCTACGCTGGCTCACCTACCTGCTGACTGACTTGGGTGAGCGGCCTCGTTCTCCTCCAGTGCTGTACGTTGACAACAAGGCGGCCATTGCCTTGTGTGAGGAGCACAGACTGGAGCACAGAACGAAGCACATTGCTCTGCGTTACTTCCTGGCTCGAGAGTTGCAGCAGCGAGGCCAGCTTCGTCTTCGCCACGTGGCCACTCGGGCCAACACTGCTGATATATTCACCAAGGCACTTCCGTCTGGTGATCATCAGCACTTTTGTACTTTGTTGGGCCTTGTGCCTACGTTTCCGCACTTGCTGTAGTCTCTGCTT